CCCGGTTTAACAAGGCTAAAGGGTCAATTTCTTAAAATCTGTCGGAGAGAGAAATTTGTGTTTTTGGTTTTTTGTTAAATCATAAGTGTGTCCAACCTAGATAACAAAGAAACTGTCCGAGTAAGTACGCAAGGAAATTTTGGATTTGTATCTAGAAGCAACAGACGTGTTGCAAATGCCTGTATTCTTCATATATGCAAAAAACACTTTCAAATTTAATTCAGATAGTCTTTGAATGTTGATGTATAAAGGAGTGCAAGAATATCAACTTGATTTTAGGGGATGTCAAATAACTGTTATCCCTCCTTTGACGCCACAAAAAAACACAAGATTTGGTTGAGGAAAACTGTTGTAGAGGAATTGAGAAGGTCTAGTAAAGACGAAACTAAGTTTTCATCAACCAAGTCTTTTGCGTTTTGTGCRTCAAAGTAGGGATATAAGTATTTTAACATCCTCTAAAATGAAGTTTATAGAAACTCCTTTAAAATCCAAATACAACAAATATCAAGAAATATTAACTTGGGTTCTCGATAAGCACTGGCCAGCACCTTCGTACAATCATTTTAAAACGGCGAATTTGGAGGATAGTCTTCTTTGCTTGCTTCAACCTTTGWGACTGAACGGTAAGACGAATCAAATTATAATTTACTTTGCAAATAGAATTTTAATGTGAACGATTTATGAATACAGTTTTCCTTTTCGTTAAAACTAATTATTTTTAACTTTGATTCTTGACAACCAGGAGCGAGCACCTGCACTGCAAAGACAAGTCTAACCGCAATTATATAACATTGGTACGCGTGGCCGAATGGAAGCCGTGTCGTCGATTTCTCAAGGCCCGTTTACACTTGCAATTTTTGCAGCGCGATTATCGCGCGACAATCGCCACTTTGCTCTCGCGCACCTCAAATCGTACGTGTAAACAGCCCTGCGATTAGAGAGGTTTAGCATAACGTTCACGGCAAACGGYAGAAAAGATCACGTGACCTGCTTTTTTAGAGTTTAACGTTGCACTTTCAAGGCGAGAGTGGGTTATTTTGAGTTTGCCATAATCGTGAAAAGCCGCTCTTTCCAATGACTACCAAAAGCATAAGATCGGGCACAAAATTCTTAAGTCATTGGTTCAGCTCTGCCGTTAGCCGTTAACGTAATGCTTAAACTCTCTATTGTCGCTCTCTATTGTCTCTATTCTCGGTTTGCACATGACGTCATCAGTTGAAAAAAAAATCTTAAATCACAGACACACAACATTGCAGCACTAAAATACCTTGAAGAGCATGATAGAAGTTCTCTCCGAAAGTTTAAACTTTTTTTGCTGTTTATACCGTTGAGTTATTAACGTTCAAAAATCTGTCACGCAATACTGTCACGCGACTTGAAACGCGACAAATAAACCTCAGAAAGCCTATTAAGTTTAAAACAAGTATAGTCTCAGCATTAAATTAAATGTTTAAAATGTTATTGTTGTAAAACTAAAGCAAAATCATTAGTTTTGACCTCAATTCGACGCTCGGAGTTACTGTCCGCCATGTTCGTGTACTTGTTTAGTACACTGTCATGGCTTTCCATACATTCCCTTGTGAAGTAAGACCGTATTCAAACGCTTATATTTTTGCTACAAAATTTCAGTTTGACTTCAAACTTTGCATAAATGCTGGGAATTATATGCTGTTCTTGGCCTTGGATACAAAAAATTCATTTCGATCTTAAAACAAAGATTTTTGTAGGTATTTCTTGACCAGTCTAAAACGCATTGAGCCGTGATAATCCCATACATTCTTACCAATTTTAGATAGATAGTATTTCTGTTAAAAAGCATTATTTTCGCCCGACATTTCGTAGTGATCCTTTAATTTAGATGTTCTCTTGAGGACAATAATAATATTCCGCTAATTGTGCCTCTAAATAGCATTTTCAGAATATCACGTGATCAGTGCAAACCGAGAATTGTCACTATATGTTTTTCGTGTGGGCAGGCAGCAAATAATTGTTGAAGACTCGCGCCAACTGTGATTTTGCACAGCGGAGATGTCAATAAACAAAACAAATTTAAATACTATAGTTTCGTAAGTGTACTAGAGATAATAAAACTTTAAAAAATACGATATATTTTTTAATCTTAACATGTTTCAGCATTACATTATGCCGTCATCAGAGGAATGAGGGTAAGAATAAGAAATTAAAAATTGTCACATAAAAATTGTTCGTGTAGATGGGGCTTAATTCAGAGGTCTTGATTTCTTTCTTTGTCAAAAAATAAATAAATTCAACCAAATATAGATCAGGTAACCCGGTAACTGTAACTTAATGAGTAAATTAATAGAGAATAATGAGGATAAATTATAATTCTGAACACAAGTAACGAAGGCTCAAGTTTACAGGAAAGTGAGTGACTGACTGAGTGATTGAGTGAGTGACGGATTCGTCCCCCTCCAATAACTCTTCCATTGCTTCGCAATCTTCGAGTTAAAAATGGTGCGACTTAGGCTGAAATCAACCTGCTAAGAACCAATCAGATTGCAGGATTCACTTGTGATTTCAAAATTAATATAATTAACATTACAATAAACTCCCCTAAAATTTCCGGTACACCACGATACTACCCACCAGTGTGAATTTTAAGAGTCAATATAAATAGATATCCAGAGGAATCGACTTTAGCTGTGTTGTGAGGTCATTACAGGTCCACACATGATGGCCGCTTACATAGACCACAACCGTCATTAGTGCGGGGTACTCATCTTTATATTTCCGTCTCTTTTGAGTAAAAAATGAGGAGGCGAATGAATTCGTTGGCATGCAGTATTTACGATGTTTTTTTCTTTGGACAGTTACTATATATATTGATTATTGATGACAACATTCGACTCATCATTGCTTGATATTGGTTTCAATATTCATCTATCTAATGATTTGTTTGGTTTGTCCTTGTACAAAAAAATGATTGAATATTATCCATCAAAATTAACTACTCCAGCTACGTTTCATAGTACAAACGTCAACCAAAACGACTGTGGCTGATCACAATATTGAAAACAGACCTAGCTAGCCTTGAATAATGGCGATTTGCTTGCAAAAATCAAGAGGGGATAAACTCTTGTCTCCGAGACATTAGCGCTGCAGAACGTGTGCTACCGGAAAGTTAGAGTAGGCTCTAGTATCTCAAGGAAGAAAAAACAAAAAACAGAACTGCAATTGCCAATTAAGAACCTGAAAGAAGTTCTATCAAGAGACTATTTACCTCAAAGAATTCGTGACTTAAAAACATTCAATGCTTGAATGCAAGTATTATCTCATCTCCTTATAACTATCATTTCATTGAATTTCATTGCTTCACATCTGAGTTAATGAGTCAGGACATGTTTCACTTAATATGTTGATACAGTGATGACTTTTTTTGTATTTTCATTATATTA